CTAAAATCGACCTCCAGGAAGTTGTCTTCGTCCTTCCGGGAAGAAGCCCGTGGACTGTTTCGCGTGCCGCGCCTCATTCCGGGAAGTTGTTCCCAACCATCCTGTGGTGTTGGGTCCTCGTTTTGAAGAGACGGTGCCCCGCGTCTCCTTCCTCCTTCCTCCTCTTCCGCTTCCTCCCCCTCCTCCTCCTCCTCCTCCTCCTCCTCCTCCTCTCTCCTCCTCCTCCTCCTCACTCCTCCTCCTCATCATCATCATCATCATCATCATCAATCATCATCATAATCATCGTCATTGTCATCGTCGTCATCGTCATCGTCATTACTCACTTCGGCACACCCCTCACAGTTTCGTGCCCCATAGGGAGCTCCACCGAAGGCCCCATGGCTGCGTCCGCATGCGTCCCGCATTTCGGCACAGAGCTCCACCGAACCCCCAGGCTGCCTCCACCGAAGGCCCCAGTGCTGCCGTCCGCATGCGTCCCGCACACCCATTTCGGCACACCCCTCACACGTTTCGTGGCCCCATAGGGAGCTCCACCGAAGGCCCCATGGCTGCCGTCCGCATGCGTCCCGCACACCCATTTCGGCACACCCCTCACACGTTTCGTGGCCCCACAGGGAGCTCCACCGAAGGCCCCAGGGCTGCCGTCCGCATGCGTCCCGCACACCCATTTCGGCACACCCCTCACACGTTTCGTGGCCCCACAGGGAGCTCCACCGAAGGCCCCATGGCTGCCGTCCGCATGCGTCCCGCACACCCATTTCGGCACACCCCTCACACGTTTCGTGGCCCCACAGGGAGCTCCACCGAAGGCCCCAGCTGCCGTCCGCATGCGTCCCGCACACCCATTTCGGCACACCCCTCACACGTTTCGTGGCCCCACAGGGAGCTCCACCGAAGGCCCCAGTGCTGCTGCCGCTCCCGCTGCGTACGCACACCCATTTCGGCACACCCCTCACACGTTTCGTGGCCCCATAGGGAGGCACACCCCTCACACGTTTCGTGGCCCCAAGGGAGCTCCACCGAAGGCCCCAGGCTGCCGTCCGCATGCGTCCCGCACACCCATTTCGGCACACCCCTCACACGTTTCGTGGCCCCATAGGGAGCTCCACCGAAGGCCCCATGGCTGCCGTCCGCATGCGTCCCGCACACCCATTTCGGCACACCCCTCACACGTTTCGTGGCCCCACAGGGAGCTCCACCGAAGGCCCCAGGCTGCCGTCCGCGCGTCCGCACACCCATTTCGGCACACCCCTGTCCCGCACACCCATTTCGGCACACCCCACCGAAGGCCCATCACACGTTTCGTGGCCCCATCCAGGGAGCTCCACGTCGACAGGCCCCCCTCACACGTTTCGTGGCTGCTCCACCGAAGGCCCCATGGCCGTCCGCATGCGTCCCGCACACCCATTTCGGCACACCCCTCACACGTTTCGTGGCCCCACAGGGAGCTCCACCGAAGGCCCCAGTGCTGCCCGCATGCGTCCCGCACACCCATTTCGGCACACCCCTCACACGTTTCGTGGCCCCAGGGAGCTCCACCGAAGGCCCCAGTGCTGCCGTCCGCATGCGTCCCGCACACCCATTTCGGCACACCCCTCACACGTTTCGTGGCCCCACAGGGAGCTCCACCGAAGGCCCCATGGCTGCCGTCCGCATGCGTCCCGCACACCCATTTCGGCACACCCCTCACACGTTTCGTGGGCAGGACGGTCGGGGCAGCGACGGCGGCGGCGGCGCTGGGGTTGCCGCCGCCGGCAGCGGCGACGCCCGGGCCGCCGTCGGCGGCGACGACGCCGAGCGCGCCCCAAGAGCGCGCTCGCAAGCGGCCGCGGTAGGCAGGCTCTCCCTCTTCCTCCTCCCCTCTCTCCTCCTCCTCCTCCGCCCACTCCTCCTCTGCTTTAGACTAGATCGTGATCTGGTCCAGCAGGCCTCTTCCTCGTCACAATGGCCTAGATCGGGATGTGGTCCAATCCCTTAGGGCCGCGCCAGGGCTGGGGAATCCTTTAGGGCCGCGCCGCTTTTGGGGAATCTTCTTCCAAAGTCTTTCCAAACCCGCCCAAATCCTCCCAAACCCGCCCAATCCTGCCGAACCCACCCAAATTCTCCCAAATCCACCAGAATCCTGCCAAACCCACCCACATCCTCCCACATCTGCCCGGAGTCTACCTAATCCTTCCAAATCCTCCCAAACCCGCCCACTTCTTCCAAATCCGCCCAAATCCTTTCAAATCTTCCCGAACACAACCGAATCCTCCCAAATCCACCCAGATCCTCCCAAACCTGCCCAAATCCTCCCAAACCCACCCAAACCCACCCAAACCCACCCCAATCCTTCCAAATTCACCCGAATCCCCCCCAATCCACCCGAATCCTTCCAAATCTTCCCAAACACACCTAAATCTTTTCAAATCCATTCAAAATGTTCCCAGATCCAACCAAATCCTCCCCAATCCTCCCAAGCCCACGAAATGCGCGCGCGGACGCGACCGGACACGGGAGCGGTACTTCCAATGGGCCGTCTGGGAGGGGGAAATTATGGGTTTTTTTTTGTTTTTTCTGGTTCCGATTTGTTTCTGTTTCCGACCCGTCCTCCGCGAAATGCGCGCGTGGACGTGCGACGGGACACGGGAGCGGTACTTGCAATGGGCCGTCTGGGGGAGGGAAATTATGGGCTTTTTCTGAATTTGCCGGTTTCGATTTTTTTCATGTTTCCGCCCCGTCCTCCGCGAGATGCGCGCGCGGACGCGCGACGGGACACGGGAACGGTACTTGCAATGGGCCATCTGGGAGGGGGAAATTATGTGTTTTTTTCTGTTTTATCTGGTGTCGACTTTTTTTCTGTTTCCGACCCGTCCTCCGCGAAATGCGCGCGCGGACGCCCGGCGGGAAGTTGTTCAAAGCGAGTCGTTGTCGACGTCGGCGTTTGCTACGCCCCGGGCGTCTGTGTTTGGAAGGGCGTCACTATCGCGAATTTTCAAAAACGGGCTCGCGTTCAAAGAGAATGGTCGTCGCCATCGGCGTTTGCTGCGTCCGGGCGTCTGTGCCCTGAAGGACGTCACTATCGCGAATTTCCAATCTTGTTCAACGCGATTCGTCGTCGCCATCTGCGTCTTTGCTACGCCCAGGCGCCTGTGTCCTGAAGGGCGCTTGAATTCTTAGCGACCGTCCAGCGCAAAACCAGGCGGTGCGGAAAACAACGCGCTTTCAATTTGATGCGAACGTCTTATTGATTCGCTCGGATCTCACCGCGAGAACGCGACTGCGAGACCCCCGTCGTTTTGATACCAAAACGACGGGGGTCTCAAGCTTTTTTTGGGTGTCCTATGGCGACGTGAAAAAAATATCGCGCGTGCGACTTGCGAAATTATTCTTTTCCATAGAACGTCGTCGATAATCTCGCGCCGACGTGCTGCGCGTAAAAAACTAAGGCTCCCAAGCTACACCCAAGCATGCAAGAGTCTCCTTTGGAGCGACCGGCGCGCGTCGCAGACATTCCAGTGCACTGTGTCCGGCGCTCAGTGTCGGCCGCGCGTCTTTCCAATTGTTCAGTGCCGCGGACGATCCGCGCGCGTCGCTGAGACTCCTTCGGGGCGACCAGCGCGCGTCGCGGGGACTCCTGCGCGCCCCGCTCAGAGCTCCCGATGCATCTGGTCGTCGTCGACGGGCCCAGCGCGCTCAAATGTCGCCCGCTGTAGTCTATTTCAGACGTTGGACATCTGGGTTTGCCTCGCGGAATCCTGGCGACTACGATTCCATATCCGTAGACCTGATGGCCCGAGCAGCAGGCGCCGCCGCGCTCCGTGGCACGCGCCCGACGCGCCCATTGACAGACGACCTCCGCTCGTGGACGGGACCCCTCTCGCGGGGCGATCGCCCCGAGTCGGAGACACTCCAGCTCGCGCGGGTGGCCCCCTGCCCCGCGCCGGGTCAATCCCCCCCGGATGCCTCCCAAGGGCAGCGGGACGAGATGTCGGATCAATGTGGACAAGAATGAGCGAGGCGGAACAGTGACCTTTACAGTGAGATTGCGGACTGCGGGCGAGCCCTCCATCAGAGGCCCGCCGCGCGAGAATTTCGCCGCGGCCACGGCGGACAAGGTCTGCCTCCTGCGGATGCCGGAGACGGAGCGGCGCGCTGAGCTGCGCCGTCTGCGAGCACAGCACGCGCAGTGCCCAAGCGATGGCCCCCAGACGCCGCGGCGCCAGCAGGATTGCCCGCCTCGGCGCCGGGTGAGAGGGAAACGAGGGCCGTCGCCGCGCGGTTCCCCGGCGCCGAGAGGCACCCCGGCATCGGGCCCGAAGCAGGGAGGTCCGCAGACACCGGGCGCCTCGGCCGCGGGCAGGCGCCCCCGGCAGACTCCCGGGACTGCTCGCCGCCGGGGCCCGACTCCTCGGACAGCGGGAGGTCGACGGGACGTCGCGGCCGCGACGTTCCGCGACGTTCTGGCCTGGCACAGTGAGCGCGGCCGCTGGCCACGGCGCCAGCGTCCCGGAAGGGGGCCCGAGGATGACTTGGCGAGGAGGTGGCAGAGGTGGAGGGGGGCCAGCAGGCTGCAGCCAGCGGCCCAGGTCCTAAAGGAGCGCATCGACGCGCTGGTGCAGGCCGGTCGGGAATCGAGGCTGGAGGATGAGCGTGCCGAGGGCGCAGAGCAGGCACTGCGGATGCTTCCCTCAGCACTGGTGCGAGGGGAACGACGTCCACGACGAGGACCGTTGGAGGCATCCCGCCCTGCATCGGTCGCGCGGCGGCCAGCGCCCATACCCCGGCCTCTCGAACCTGTGCAACACCTGCTACCTCAACGCGCCCTTGCAGTGCCTCCTCCACTGCCCCGCCGCGCGCGCCGCGTTCCTGGGGGCGGAGGGCCAGGGCGAGCCGCTGATTCTGCAGGACGCGGGGTGGGGGAAATCTCGTCGATGTCTTCACTCCGGCACAGCCCCCGGTTGATTTTTGGGGTTCCTCCCTCCGCAGGGGAGGGGAGACGATTGGCGCGTGGACAGGGCGGGGTATGGGAGGCAGTCGGCCTGGGTTTCTCACCCTCTCTCGAGGAGCTGCGCGCCCTGGCGACCGCCTGCGTGCGCGGGGCGCCGCCGAGCCTGGCGGAGGGCGACGGCGGCGCCGCGCCGGCGCCGGCCCGCGTGGACCGCTGGTCCCCGCACGCCTTCGTGGACGCGTTCCTCGCGAAGCACTGGGTGGACTTCAAGCTGGGGAGGTACGCGGACGCGAGTGAGGCGCTGTCGTTCATCCTGGAAGACGCGCCTGGTCTCGCCAGCCTCTTCCAGACGGGATGCGACGAGGAGGCCATGATGAGGCTCCCGGCATTCGTGGACGGGGCAGACGACGGCGACGACGCCCTGTCGCCGCAGGACTTCTTCCTCGACGGGGGCGCGCAGCGACTGGACGTGCGAGAGCTGCTCCGCCGCGGCGCCTCCATGGGCGGGCGACTGCGATCGAAGCCCGAGTTGCTGGCGGTCCACGTGCCCCAGAGGTGGGAGCGGGGCGACGGCGCGGCGCTCTTCCTCGGCGGCTGCGACATCGCGCCCTACTGGGGTGACCTCCCGGAGGTGGCTCTGAGGGCGGGGGAGGAAGACGTCGCGTACCGCCTGCGCGCCTACGTGCAGTACATCCTGCCCGAGGGATCGGAAGCCGTCCCATCCCACTTCCTGAATGACCCCCAGGGCCACTTCGTGGCTCACTTCGAGGAGGACGGGAGCTGGTACACTGCAGACGACCTGGGCGATCGGCCGCACGTGGTCCAGTGGGCGCCTGGCACCGAGCACAAGATACCTTGCATGATCTTCCTTGAGAAGGTGGACTCCAGGGCGGCCCGCGCCGAGGCGTGCCCGTGGCCGCCCGGGCCGGTCGTCGACGGCGCGGAGGGCGCGGGCGGCGACGGCGACGGCGACGCGGACGGCGAGGACAGCCCCGGCCTCGACGGGGAGTGCGACGAGGAGGAGGACGGGGCCGGCGACGCTGGCGTGCCGGGCGCGCGGAAGCGGCCCGCGGCGTCCACGAGGAGCGGCGCCCCTGCCAAGAAGCGGCTCCGCCTCCGAGGGAAACAGAGCGCTGCTGGACGGCAGCAGAGCCGCGCTGGGAGGCAGCAGAGCCGCGCTGGGAGGCAGCAGCAGCAGAGCCGCGCCGGGAGGCAGCAGAGCCGCGCTGGGAGGCAGCAGCAGCAGAGCCGCGCTGGGAGGCAGCAGGCCAGGGAGGATCAGAAGCGCGGTTGCAAGCCGGAGGAGGTACTGCGACAGGGGCGGAAGCCGAAGAGCAAGGGCGACAACGCCGACGGATCCAGACAGGACGCCCAGAACAACGCCGCCGCCCCTGTCCTCCGCAGCAGCAGGGAGGCGAAGAGCTTGCAGACCGCCAGCGAGGAGCGCCGGTTGTGTGGGGATCTCTTCCTGCTCCTGCACTTGCTGGAGCCGCTGGTCGCTGCCGATGACCTGCTGAAGCATTACCCTGACTTCTTCGTCTACGCGGGCGACGACTGCACCCGCCGATGGGCGACGTTCCTGCAGGCACCCGATCGACCCGACAAGTTGGCCGGGAGACTGCGGGAAGCGCTCGGGGTCACGGAGAACGAGATTTCCGACGCCAAGCGTCGACTGGAGAGCGGGGAATGGCACGTGCACCACGTCGCGGAGCTCCTGGACGAGCGCCTGGGCTCCGCCCACGGCGCCCCCTCCGTGGCGGCCGCGGCCCGCCTGGCGGCGAGCGACGCGTCGGCCGCGCTGGGCGACGGCAACCCGCTGAGGGCGCACCTCGCGGAGGCGTGGCAGCGCAGACCCTGCAACCGCGGCCCTCCCCGGCGCGCCGCCATGCCTGCGCGCCTTCGGGATCGCTCTGACTGGTTCCAGTGCCCCGCGCCTGCGCTGCATTATGCCTGCCGCATGTGCGAGGCCGAGTTCCCCAACAGGGAGGCGTTCAAGGCGCACCAGGGCAGAGTCCACGGGGGGCAGCGGTGGTACCAGTCGCAGTATGTGGCGCGGTGCGAGCTGGAGCCCTACCAGCCGTCGCCGACCGAGGAGGGTCAGGCGAGCGGGCGGCGGGGAACTGCGCCCAGCCCTCGGAGACGTGCCCTTAGCGCTGGCGCTCCCGGCGCCAGCGCTAAGGGCATCGAGAGCGCTGGGGGTCGGGCGGTGCTCCCCGCCATCGCTGCAGGTGGTTGCCAGGTTCCACATTTCCCAGTGCTGCGCCACCGTCGACCCCGTGGACGAGCCGTTCGTCCCGAAGCCTGAACCGGAGGTGCAGAAGCAGCTGCTCCACGCGGAGATCATCGGCAGGATCGCCGGCAAGATCGGGCAGGGGGGGCCCGCGGAGGAGATCCCCCTGCAGGCGGCCGGCGCGGCGGAGTCGGCAGCCCGCGCTCAGGCGGCGTGCCGGGCGAGGGAGCCCCGCGCTTTCCAGGCCTGCGTCTGCTGCGCCATGCAGCAGTGGTCCGAGAACCTCCACTCGGAGTACCTGGTCGGCGACAAGTGCACCGTAAAGGACCGGGCCCAGTTCGCGGACTGCCTGTCGGCCGAGTGGTATCACCAACGATGGCCCCTCATACCGCGCGACGAGCTGATGTCGTCGGCCGTGAACTTTCCCCACGACGACTGCGAGGGCTCGCCGACGTCCACGAAGATACTCTTGCACAAGAGGCGCGTGCCGCCCGAGGCGCTCGAAGGGAAGGTGCCGGTGAAAGTCTGCGACGATTGCCGGAAAGTCCCGTGGTCTGATCACCCCAAGGTGCCGCTCATGGCGCTGGTGAACGACCTCTGGCTGGGCCGCCACCGCCCGCTGCTCAGGAAGGCCGCTCTCGCGCACCAGTTGCTGCTCGCGCTCGGCCGCGTCGTGTCCACGAAGATCTACCTGTCCAGCAAGGGCGCCGACAAGGCCGTCCGGCAGGAGCAGCAGTCGTGGAGGCAGAAGTTCTTGCAGTACGCCATGCAGGGCACCGCCATCGTGTTCGGGAACGGGAACGTGGACCACGCGATGCGGAGCTTCCCGCCGGAGCCCGACATGCTCAGGGACACGTTCGTGGCCGTCTTCGCGGGCGCCGACGACGACGAGGAGGGCGCCCCCCTGACCGAGGAGCAGAAGCAGGAGAGGGCCTTGAGAGCCATGAGGGAGGAGGTGGCGTTGCGCGTCGACAAGGCGGAGTGCGACGCCCAGGCGCGGTTGTTGAAGCAGCACAACTACGTGTGCAATGACCCGGGCGTGCAGTGCCGATCGGACCTCGTGGACCGGTTCCCCCCGCAGCCGGGCGTGCCCGACTTCATGCTGGCCTGCGCGAAGTATGTCCCCACGGACGCGGCGCTGGACGACGTCGCGCAGTCGCAGGGTCCCGCGTCGGCCACCACCGGTGCGCAGGCAGAGATGAGCGCGGCCGCCGAGGACGCGCAGGAGCTGACCAAGTGGCTGTCCGTCCTCGAGGACCACATGGACGACGTCAGCGAGCTCACGTCCCTGCCGGCGCTCCAGGGCATGCTCGAGAGGATGGAGAGTCAGGCGGGTCGCGTGGTGGCCAACGAGCTGATGTCCAGACTCGAGGACCAGGGAGGCGATGATAGGGCGCTGCAGCTGGACGAGATCGGGCGTGGCCGCCTGCGGGACCTCTGCCAGGAGTTCCACGCGCGCTGTCGGAAGATCTCCCCGGGGGAGGACATGGCGAAGCTGCACTGGCGCGTCCAGGCGCTGGAGACCAACAACTGTCAGGCGGAGGAGGGCGCGGGCGACTTGGCGCGATCTGCAGGAGTCGCGGGGACTCCCGCCGAGGACGATCCGCGCTCCTTGCAGGGACCGCCCGGCCCAGACGGCCAGCGGAAGGCGAGGCTTCGGGTGCCCACTTCGAGGAAGGCGGAGAGCTGGTGGAATCCGAAGTACTGGTCGATTGCCAGGCCCACGGACTTCTGCTACGGGGACTGCGCCTGGGGCCTCGGCCAGCTCCCCCCCGGACGGAGATGAGGACCCGCAGAGGCAGAAGGAGGCTCGGCTCTGCTTCAGCGTGGCGCACTTCATCAAGAATCTTCTCACGCGGGAGGAGATGGAGTACGATGTGCCTTCGGACGAGGAGAAGTACGTGGCCAGGCCCATCAGTCGTTTCCGGAGCTGCTGGTACGACGTGCACCTGCTGTGCTCCTTCTGGAGAGTCACGGAGACGACCAACAGCACCTACACCTTGATGAAGACGCCCGGGGCGTTCGGGGCCGCTCGCGCCTGCGCGGACATCACGCCGGAGATGATCGAGGAGGTGCAGCTCAGGGCGCAGCAGGCGGGCGGGAAGGCCACGCTGCACGGCATCCTCAAGGACAAGGACACCCCGAACGAGGTGCGCAAGGCCTTCGCCACCCTGGGCCAGGCCACTGCCGGCCAAGTCGGGTCCGACGGACACAGGCGGGAGCTGCGCGGAGAGGGCGAGGCGTATACCCTGCGCTTCGGCCCGCCCGTCCAGTTCGTCACCCCGAATCTGGCAGACACCAAGCAGCCCCTGATCCTGATCGTGCAGGGGGAGGAGTACACCTTCGACAACGACCTGACCGAGGCGGAGCAAGTCACGTTCAGCGAGATGTCGCAGCGCATCACCGCGGACCCCGTGGGCCAGGCCGTGGTGTTCGAGCTGATGATGAGGCTGTTCTTCGTCCACGTCCTCGGCCTGCGCCCGGAGACCGTCGGGTGGCGGCGAGGAGAAGTCCGAAAGGCTTCGGGGCACTGGATATCCGACGGCGTGGCGGCCGACCTCATGGGCGTGCCCACGGTGTTCGGCCCCCTCGCGGCGGCCTTCGGCCCGGTCGAGGCTCAGGGCCGCGGCTCGCTGCACCCTCACATCCTCATCTGGCTGCTGCAGGGTCAGCTGCGCGTGCTCTTGGACATGCTGCAGCGCGACGAGGCGCGCTTCCAGGAGCGCTTGAACCTGTGGATGCGGCAGGTGGTGCAGGCCGTGGTCGCCACTCAGCAGAGCGCCGTGGAGCTGCTGCCCCTGCAGCTGCAGGGGGGCGAGAACAAGTGCGGGGTCACGGTGCCGCCGCTGCCGTTCGGGCCCAACGAGAAGCAGTACTTCCGGGCCGACGGGGGCGCGGAGATGGCGACTGCAGAGCAGCTCGGGGACGGAGGCGAGACGGAGCCGCAGGAGCTGTGGTTCTACGAGCCCAAGGTAGACGACTACCACAGGGCGATTCGCCCCGATCTGCCGCTGCGCAACAACGGCGGCGAGATCGTGGACGACGTTGCGGCGTGAACAGAGCAGAGGGCCGCGGAGAACAAGGGGTACTGGCGGCGGCCGCTCTCCAGCAGCGCCTCCGGCATCTTCCCGAGGTACCGCGGCGGGGGCACCCTGGCGAAGTCTCTCCCGAGCGAGGAGTGGATTCGCGAGATGTGCCGCGACGTGCGCGAGCTCGTCATCGGCTGCGGCATCCACGTCTGCAGCCCCTCTTGCTACAAGTACAAGTACCATTCCGACAGGACGCGCGGCTCGCAGATCTGCCGCCACAACTTCTACAACCTGGTGACATTGTGCACGTGGACCGAGGGTGAGGACTCCCGAGAGTGCCGACTCCGCACGCGCGGGAAGGCGCTGCGCGGCTGCATCGGCATATTCCGGGAGACGGACTACGGCATGGCCGGACGCATCGTCACCTTCCAGCTCCACCCCGGGGAGACCTCCACGAAGTACGCGGCACTCGTCGCGGCGCGGTGCAACGTGGACGTGCAGGACATGAGACGGGTGCTGCCCCCGCGCCTGTGGATGGATGCGTCGGAGCTGGAACCGCCGGCGAACGAGGAGGACCGCAAGAGCTACAACCATGGCCTCTACCCTCAGCGCTACGCCGACTTCTCGGTGGGCGCCCGGGAGGACTGGGGATGGTTCCAGCATCTGAACACCACGCCCGCGGAGAAGTGGGACCTCGTCGTAGTCACCGACTGGCACGGGATCTACAGGACACTCGCGAACCGCGACAGCCCCGCCGTGGACAGTGGCGACGCTGCGCGCGCCGATCTCCAGCGCGACCTGGAGCGGCACGCGCTGGCCACCTTCGTGGGCGCCCACAACGCGAGCTACTACGTCAACTCGTACACCACGAAGGTGAACCCCAGCATGGACGACGTGCTTTGCAAGCTCCTTGACGGCGTGCGCCGCCTGAAGAGCCAGTGGGACGACAAGGGGGCGCAGGCCGCGGGCGACGCCGGCGACGAGGCCCAGTCGACAGCCGCAGGAAAGCGCAAGGAGGATTTCAAGCGCACGCTGCAGGTGCTGGCCCGCTTCGAGACCTGCTTCCGCAGGGCCTCCTGGAAGAGCGGCAGCGAGATGGTCTTCCCCATGCTCTTCGGGCACCTCTCCTTCATGACGCACCGTTGCTGGAAGGTGTTCATGCGGAAATCCATCTACCTCGCCGCGGAGTCCTGGCGCAGGCGGCACGGCCAGGCCGACGCCGCGGAAAGCGCACCCGCCGCCTCGATCACGTACGCGGTCCCCGGCACTGGACAGCAGGTCGCGATGCCAGGGTGGCGCGAGGTGCAGCGCGAGGGCGAGACGGTGTACGTCAGCCCCGACGGCGAGGAGTTCGACACGATCGAGTACGCGCACCAGGCGTTCCAGATCGCGAACGCCAGCGGCAGCTCGCTGCGCGACGTGACGAAGGCGCTGAACAAGTTGCGGGAAGGCGAGGCCGAAGAGGTGCCCGAGGCACCGGGGCCGACTGTCGAGGGCCTCGCGCAGGGCAAGTTCAGGGGCGCAGTGCTGAGCCAGCACGACGACTGGATGCACCGCGGAGACCACCCTATTGTCCGAGACATGAGCTTGTACGTCTACAGCATCTGGGTGTACCGCGTGGAACTGCCGCTGCATGCCCTTCCGGCCGGGGAGCTGGATCCCGAGGGCAGCGGGGGTCGCACCCTGCACGTCGACATCGCCTTCGACTCCTCCTACTCGGCGGCGCGGAACTGGACGCAGAGGCTGGCCGTCGAGCCGCGCATCCCGAAGGCCGAAGGCTTCCAGTTCGTGAGCGCGGAGTCGAACGTGGAGACGCACTACCTCATGAAGTCGGTGCTGCTCCGGCCAGTGCGCCTGCCGGACGCCGACGGCCCCAACGACACGAAGGAGCTGCGCTACCTCCGCGCGTACGAGCACCTGTGCGCGGCGCCGGAGGGCGAGCCGGAGTGGCCGGCGCAGCCGGCGGGGGAGGGCGTGGCGGGCCCGTTCCAGCGCGGCTGGGAGTCGTTCGCCACCGCCCAGGAGCAACTGGCGAAGACGGCCCGGGCGAAGTGCCTCAGGAATGACGTCGGGTCGTGGGCGACGCCCAGCATCTGGAACACGGAGGAAGTCGAGTCCGCGCTGCGCGAGAAGCGCAGCGACCGCCGCGAGGACGTGCAGCCTCCGTGCCAGTGCGCCCAGTGCGCGGAGCTGGGCAACTGGCTGGGCAGCATGCTGACGGTGCAGGAGTACCTGGCCCTGGAGACCACGAAGACCGCGGCCAACTTCGACGGCATCTCCAAGGCGAAGGCTTCGAAGCCGAAGAGGCCGCAGAAGGACGACGTGCAGGTCGCGGAGGCCCCCGTGTTCCGGGAGGGCGCCGAGGATTCGGGGGCGGGCGCCGCGCAGGTGGAGGCCCAGGGCATCCGCGCTCAGGACGGCTTCGCGAAGCTGGGCGCCAACGTTGTCCTGGAGCACCACTTCGACCCCGAGACGCTCGGGCAGATCTTGCGCTTCGACACCGCCGAGCGCACGCAGGCATTCGTGAAGGAGCTCAAGAAGGCCGCCACGATGATGGAGAACGGCGCGCTACCCGGGCCGACTGACGCCGACGCGCCGCGGCGTGCTGCCCGCGCCCTGAAGGAAGACGTCCTCGCTCCGTTCAGGGCTTTGCGCGACCTCGACGCAGAAGAGCTGAAGGACCTGGTGGAGACCCAGCGAAAGAGGTTCGCCAAGGGGGGCGCGAAGGACGCGGACGTGCCCGCGGACGACGCCCCCGAGCCGGACGACGTCGGGGCAGCGGGTGCTGGCGCGATGCCGGCCGAGGCGGCGCAGGCGCGGTGGGGGCCGTCGGAGGAGTTGCAGCGGCCCAGCGACCTCGTCAAGCGCCTCGTCAAAAAGTTCGAGGACGGCGTGGTCAACCCGAGCACGGGGAAGCAGGAGCGCCGCCCTCTGAAGCCCGACCAGGCCCTGTTCGTCACGGCGTTCGCGAACGCCTGCAACGTGGCGTGGGACGAGGAGCAGAAGATCGAGGACGGCAGCATGGCCAAGCACGCGAAGCGGAAGACGTTCCAGTTCCTGCTCCTCGGCCAGGGCGGCAGCGGGAAGACGGCCATGGTGCAGGAGATCGTGCTGCCGGCCATGGACGCGCTGTTCCCTGTGGAAACGGGCAAGGCGAAGTCCACGCTGATAGTCTGCGCGAAGTGGTCCCAGGCCGCGAACATCTCCACGGACGCTCACAAGGCCGTCAGTTGCCACCGGGCGGGAGTCATCGGAGTGCAGTCCTTCAGGAACAAGGACATACCCGCGGGGGGCAGGCTGAAAGCGCTACAGGACACGTGGGAGGCGGTCAGGTGCTTGATCCTGGAGGAGGTGAGCATGATCTCGCCCAACCTGTACAACATGCTGGCGTTCCGGTCCTACCTGTGACGCAAGGCCGAGTGGGGCGCGGAGGAGCGGGAGTACGACCAGGTCGGCGGCGCCTTCGGACGGATGCCCATCGTGATCCACCTGGGGGACTTCCTGCAGCTGAAGCCGACGGGAGGCAAGGTGTCGCTCATCTCCAGCTTCGAGGAGCTGGCGGCGGCGGGCATCAACCTCGCTCCAGAGTACCAGGCAGTGATGAAGCTCTTCTGCAACACGCCGCTGTGCTTCGAGCTCCAGGCGTCCAACCGCTTCAAGGACCCGAAACTCAGGGACCTCATGGCGTTCCTGCGCAAGCCGGGGAAGCAGGTCCCTCCGGCCATCCGGGCCACGTGGAACGCCATGCAGCTGAAACCCGATGATCGCCGGCTCCGGGAGGAGAGGTTCCAGAACGGCCACATGATCGGGTCCTACTGGGACACCGTGGCGCGCTGGATGAACATGCGTGCTCAGCGGGACGCGGACGTCCTGAAGAAGCCCCTGTTCCTCGTGCAGGCCGCCGACAGGTCTGCACCGACGATGAGCGTCAAGGACGCCGCCAAGATGATGAACTGTGCCAACCCGAAGAATACCGGTGGCATGCACGGACTGCTCCCGGCGCACGTGGGCATGCGGATCCGGCTCCTGGAGGCGCTCGACCTCAAGAACGGCCTCGTCAAGGACGCCGAGGGGCAGATCGTGCACATCGTCGTGGACCCTCGGGATCGGGGCGACGTCGAGAGAGCAGAGAGAGACGGGGAGAAGAGAATCTACCTGAAGCGCTTGCCGCTGGGGTTCTGGGTGCGCATGGAGAAGTACGCGAGCGCGCCCTTCGTGGACGACCTGAAGCGCCACGACGACAGCCTCGCGAGGGACCTCGCGGGCCCGCTGGTGTTCATCGAGCCCCGCACGTCGGAGGCGTTCACCTTCCGCACCTCCAAGGTCACCCGGACGGGCTTCCCGTTCTCGCACGGCAGGGTCATCACCACGGTGGCGTGCCAGGGGCGCACCATGCGAGAAGGCGACGGGGCGGGGGAACGGCGCTCCGGGGACAGCGAGACCTCCGGGGCGCGAGCAGTCCGCAGCCAGACCTCGGTCCTGTGGACTCTCGCCGCCCTGGGCCGTCGGCTGCCGGGCGCACCGCTCCCTCGGCCGACGTCGCCCAGGCGTGATCCTGGACTGCGGCCGCCACGAGGTCGGGAACGGCAAGAAGGAGGACGACGACTGGTGGCTGGAGCTCTACGTGCTGCTCTCGCGCGCCACGCGACACGAGGACCTCCTGCTCATGCGGGCGCCGCGCATCGAGTTCTTCCTGGCCGGGCCGCCGGCGGGCTTGCGGAAGCAGCTGGAGCAGTTTGCGGCGCGCACGAAGCGGTGCAGGAGGGAGGCCACGGCCCTCGCCAAGGACCTCGGCTTCACTGAGTTTATCCGCGAGGCCTGACCTGAGGAGCGGCCCGCCCCAGCCGCTTCTTCTCTTGGCTGTCCGGCTGTTCGGCCTGGCGCCGCCGACGCTCCGCGCGCGTCGCTGGGGCCCTCTCGGGGCGATCAGCGCGCGTCGCCCGAACTCCGCGCTGCGCTCTGTCCAGCGCCTCGCTCGCCCGTCGTCGCTCCGCCCGCGGCCAGAGCCATGCGCGCTATGAGTTAGCCAGCAAGCAATCTCTGTTCCGCTCAGCGGACGAACCGCGCGCGTCACTGCGACCCCCTCGGGGCGACCTGTGCGAGTCGCGAGGGCTCCGCATGGCGCTGCGCCCGCAGCCTTGGACTTTGGAGTGCGCGGGCAAAGGACATGGAAAAAGGAGGAGAGGAAGCGGGCGCGATCCTCGCGTGGGGCGCGCCGACATGGGCGTTGCGGCGCGCGGGCGCTGCCGTCGAGGTTCCCAGGGAAGCCCCCCTGCAGAGGCTACGCCGCACAATTCGGCACACCTTCATACGGTTCGTGGCCCCATAGGGAGCGCCACCGAAGAAGATATCCACAATTGCGGTACTCACAACTGCATATGGTTGGGTCCTTCGCCAGGCTATTTTTTTCCCAACCATCCTGTGGTGTTGGGTCCTCGTTTTGAAGAGACGGTGCCCCGCGTCTCCTCCTCCTCTCCTCCTCCGCCTCCTCTCCCCTCCTATCCTCCTCCTCCTCCTCCTCCTCCTCCTCCTCCTCCTCCTCATCATCATCATCATCATCATCATCATCATCATCATCGTCATCGTCGTTGTCATCGTCGTCATCGTCATCACCCATTTCGGCACACCCCTCACACGTTTCGTGGCCCCATAGGGAGCTCCACCGAAGGCCCCAGTGCTGCCGTCCGCATGCGTCCCGCACACCATTTCGGCACACCCCTCACACGTTTCGTGGCCCCATAGGGAGCTCCACCGAAGGCCCCATGGCTGCCGTCCGCATGCGTCCCGCACACCCATTTCGGCACACCCCTCACACGTTTCGTGGCCCCACAGGGAGCTCCACCGAAGGCCCCAGTGCTGCCGTCCGCATGCGTCCCGCACACCCATTTCGGCACACCCCTCACACGTTTCGTGGCCCCACAGGGAGCTCCACCGAAGGCCCCAGTGCTGCCGTCCGCATGCGTCCCGCACACCCATTTCGGCACACCCCTCACACGTTTCGTGGCCCCATAGGGAGCTCCACCGAAGGCCCCATGGCTGCCGTCCGCATGCGTCCCGCACACCCATTTCGGCACACCCCTCACACGTTTCGTGGCCCCACAGGGAGCTCCACCGAAGGCCCCAGTGCTGCCGTCCGCATGCGTCCCGCACACCCATTTCGGCACACCCCTCACACGTTTCGTGGCCCCACAGGGAGCTCCACCGAAGGCCCCAGTGCTGCCGTCCGCATGCGTCCCGCACACCCATTTCGGCACACCCCTCACACGTTTCGTGGCCCCATAGGGAGCTCCACCGAAGGCCCCATGGCTGCCGTCCGCATGCGTCCCGCACACCCATTTCGGCACACCCCTCACACGTTTCGTGGCCCCACAGGGAGCTCCACCGAAGGCCCCAGTGCTGCCGTCCGCATGCGTCCCGCACACCCATTTCGGCACACCCCTCACACGTTTCGTGGCCCCACAGGGAGCTCCACCGAAGGCCCCATGCTGCCGTCCGCATGCGTCCCGCACACCCATTTCGGCACACCCCTCACACGTTTCGTGGCCCCATAGGGAGCTCCACCGAAGGCCCCACCGTCCGCATGCGTCCCGCAGCATCACACCGATAGGGAGCACCCCTACACCCCACGTCACACGTTTCGTGGCCCCACAGGGAGCTCCACCGAAGGCCCCATGCTGCCGTCCGCATGCGTCCCGCACACCCATTTCGGCACACCCCTCACACGTTTCGTGGCCCCATAGGGAGCTCCACCGAAGGCCCCATGGCTGCCGTCCGCATGCGTCCCGCACACCCATTTCGGCACACCCCTCACACGTTTCGTGGCCCCACAGGGAGCTCCACCGAAGGCCCCAGTGCTGCCGTCCGCATGCGTCCCGCACACCCATTTCGGCACACCCCTCACACGTTTCGTGGCCCCATAGGGAGCTCCACCGAAGGCCCCATGG